TTGAATTATTAAAGGCCTGAGAAATCTTCTTGAGGTTACTTGTATTATTCAAGATATCAGTCAACACCCCATCAAGCTTATTGTTCACAAACTGGATTTGTGTTTCATTGTTTGGATAAATGTACTCCGCCTGGCTCTCTGTAACAACACTTCCTGATCTGCAGTAGAAAAATAAAAAGATATTACCAAAAGAAAACAGCTTGTACTTGATTAAAAAGAGAAATTTAAATTATGTCATCAGTAAAGTTTAATGAACACCTACGATAAGTTGATGACTTTAACTTTTTTGAAGGTTTGTGGATCTGCTTCTCTGCAGAGGGCTTCAAGCTACAACACGTAAGAGATGTTATTATAGCAAAGCCATAACACTATATCATTTTGGGGATATTAACATCAAAAACAGCACATGTTTAAAGTATTAATTATTGTAATTATTGCTCAGTAAAAAGTAATAAGGTATAGGACATGAGTAAACACTTATAAATACTATATATTACTTATCATTAAGATATGCAACATAAAAAAAACATATTTACCTCCTTTTCTAATTTGTTGATGAAGGCTAATGACTGAGGTGAGTTTAGATTGTTAAAGGCCACCTGAAAAGTGACGCTGATTTTCATGGTAATGTTTGCTTTGTGAGTTGGTATTGCTCCCGAATCTGCAAGAAATGATGACATTACAAAAACATTATAGACATTTTATAAATATTTCTACATTGAACACTGAGGTTAGGAATATATCAGTGCCAAAATCAAACATATTAAATTCAAACACATAACTGATATCTTATAAATGATCTCTGAATTCATTTATTGTCTTCAGTTGACAGAATATTTTGAAGAACTGTATCTTGATATGAAAAACCTCACCAACATGAGCAGGGGTGTCATTCTTTCCAAAAGAGCACTTTTCTCCAAGGAGAAAATCAAAACAGTTGCACTGACATTTTCCAAGTGTTGAGTTGAATATGCATTTACCCCGAGTACAGTTAGTTTTACAGTCCTCACACTGAGGAGTTGTAGATGATGGCACAGTGACAGTAGTACTTGAAGAGGTAATAATGGTAGATGTTGATCGACTGACTGTTGTTGATTTGGTTGTGCTGGTGATTTTCGCTGATGTCAGAGATTTAGTTGTTGCTGTGGTTGTTGTCTTTGTAGCAGATGTTGATTGTTGTTCTGTTGACAAGGACATGATTGTTGTAGATGTTTCCTGGCTAGTCAGTGGGAGATGAGTTGTGCTGGTATTTGTTGGTGTTGTTTCAATTTTGTGTTCAGTTGTTGTTTGAGTGGAGTGAGATGTAGTAGGAGACAATATAGATGGGGAACTCGGTGAGACCTCTGTACCTGTGGTGGGATTGATTGTTGTTGTGGGATGATTAGTGTTGGTAGTTCCTGTTCCTTCATTTGTGGTTTGGGTTGAGGCTGAGAAATGTGATTTAGTTGTTGCTGCGGGTGTTATTGTTGTAAGAGATGTAGCATGTTGCATTGTCGATGAGGACATCATTGTCGTAGATGTTTCCTGGGTAGTCAATTGGAGCTGAGTCGTATTTGTCAGTGTTGTTTCAGTTTTGTGTTCAGGTGATGTTTGAGTGAAATGAGTAGTTAGTGGGAGGACTGTGGAGTGTGAACTTGGTGAGACCTCTGTACTTGTTGGGGGGTTTGTTGTTGTTGTGGAGAGATTAGTGTTGGTAGTTCCCGTTTCTCCATTTGTGGAGAGTACAGAGGCTGTTAATTCAGTTGTTGCTGTGGGTGTTGTCTTCGTAGCAGATGTTAATTGTTCTGTTGTTGGGGAGATCATTGTTGTAGATGTTTCCTGGCTTGTCAATGGGAGCTGAGTTGTGCTTGGAGCCGGATGGAAGAATTCACACTGTGGGCCAAAAAACTGCCCAAGGCTTGAGTTGAAACACCTGGATTGAAGGACCACAAGAAGAAATTGTGTTAGTTAAATGAACAATACCAGCAAAAATATAAGATAAAGTTAAGCTCCTTGCAGTTAAACTAAAAAACTTTTGCTTACCGACAGGTTGGCCCTTTCTCGATGTCATTGTGACATTCTCCATGTTGATGACAGTAATCGGGGTTTGTTTTGCAGGGTCCAACACACTGCCATTGCTCGTTAATTATTTCAGCAGTGTAATTAGCGAACTGAGAGCAATTTATAAAAGGCTTCAGATCTGTGATATCTGGTTGACAACAACAACAAAAAAGTATTAATTGTTTTGTACAAGTATTACAAAACAAATATAGAAATGTTGACAAACATACAGATCAGCCAAAACATTAAAACCACTGACAGGTGAAGTGAATAACATTGATCATCTTTACAATGCAATGTTCTACTGGGAAACTTTGGGTCCTGACATTCATGTGGATGCCACCTGACACAGACCATCCACCCAAATGCCGCTGCAGACGAAGTACACCACCATGCTGATCTGGGGACTTTGGAGGCCAGGTCAATGTTTTGAGCTCTTTCTCTTGTTCTTTGGGGCATTCCTGAACAGTTTTTGTTGTGTGGCATGGGGGCCCACTGCCATCAGGGAGTGCCTTTGTCATGAGGGGGGTGTACTTGGTCTGTAACCATGTGTGGGTAGGTGGTTAATGTCAAGTAGCATCCACATGACTGCCAGGACCCAAAGTTTTCCAGCAGAACATTACACTGTAATGAGATAATCGATGTTGTTTACTCCACCCGCCAGTGGTTTCAATGTTTTTGCTCATCGGTGTCCATTGAATGAACAAACACTGACTGTGCAAAGAAATAAGCCAATTCTACATGTTTAGAGCTGACACTTACTTTTAATCTCAGGTTTCTGGAAAGTGAGTCCATTTAACAGCACCTTTGAATTATTAAAGGCCTGAGAAATCTTCTTGAGGTTACTTGTATTATTCAAGATATCAGTCAACACCCCATCAAGCTTATTGTTCACAAACTGGATTTGAGTTTCATTGTTTGGATAAATGTACTCCGCCTGGCTTTCTGCAACAACACTTCCTGGTCTGCAGTAGAAAAATAAAAGGATATTACCAAAAGAAAACAGCTTGTACTTGAGTAATAAGAGTTATTTAAATAATGTCATCAGTAAAGTTTAATGAACACCTACGATAAGTTGATGACTTTAACTTTTTTGAATGTTTGTGGATCTGCTTCTCTGCACAGGGCTTCGAGCTACAACACAAGAGATGATATTACCGCGAGGTTTTAACAAATAAAGTTTTGAGATATTAACATTAAAACAAGTAACTGTATATAATATCAGGAATTGTAATTACTTCCCAGGAAATAACAGAGCAACCAGTTATAAGACATGAGTGAGAATTGAAATTCGAAATAATAATAATCATTAATTTATGCAACAGTAAGAAAAAAAAATTACCTCCCGTTCTAGTTTCTCGATGAAGTCTAACGATAGATTTGATGTTAGATTTTTAAAGGCCACCTTAAAAGTCTCATTGATTTTCAAAGTAATGTTTGCTTTGTGAGTTGGTATTGTTGCGTTATCTGCAAAAAATGATGACAGTCCAAAAACATTATCAACATTGCAATAACAATAACATATATTAAACACTGAAGTAGAAAATCTCAATGCCAAAATCAAGCACGACTGATAACAACGTATTGCTAAAACTTTTTGAATTATCTCTGCATTCAATCATTCTTCAGTTGACAGAATATTTTGAAGAACTGTATCTGTATATGAAAAACCTCACCAACATGAGCAGGGGTGTCATTCTTTCCAAAAGAGCACGTATCTCCAAGGAGAAAATCAAAACAGTTGCAATGGCATTCTCCAAGTGTCGAGTTGAATTTGCAAGTACCCCTGAAACAATTTCTTTGACAGTCCTTACACTGAGGAGTTGTAGATGATGTCACAGTGACAGTAGTACTTGAAAACAGAACACTGGTAGATGTTAATCGAGTGATTGTTGTTGATTTTGTTGTGCTAGAGATTTTCACTGATGTCAGAGATTTAGTTGTTGCTGTGGGTGTAATCGTCGTAGCAATTGTGGAATGTTGCTTCGTTGATGAGGACATGATTGTTGTAGATGTTTCATGGGTAGTCAATGGGAGCTGAGTTGTGCTGGTAGTATTTGGTGTTGTTTGACTTTTGTGTTCAAGTGATGTTTGAGTGAATTGGGTAGTTACTGGAGCTATTGTAGATGGGGAACTTGGTGAGACCTCTGTATTTAGAGAGGAATTGGTTGTTGCTGTGGAATGTTTAGTTCTGGTAGTATCTGTGTTGCCATTTGTGGTGAGAGTTGAGGCTGAGGAA